TTTCGCACATCCACTGAACAGAATACAAACTAATCATCGATATGAAATTCTTAAGATTTAGTAAAATACGGTACCACCAATATGATTCTTTAGCATGCGTATCAAAATTGTTTAATATCGTTACACACTACTGAATAGATCGATTTTGGTACGGTCCTTAATTTAGACTAATCGTACTACTGCATAGCTACAATTATTTAAAAATAAATTATGCTATTAATACGGTACCTACGTGAACAATTAACATATTTACACAGGCTAAGTTAATCAATCAAACGCTCTGCTTTAAAACCCGGTAAACACGGCATGTAAATTCCATAAAATGGAAAGTAGTATAGGAAAGATATTCTACCTAAGAAGTAGCTGGAATCGTTCAGCGGATAAAATTATAACGGAGAAACAAGAGGTAACTAGCAAAGAAGCTACGGAAACATCAACAGAAAAAACAGTGATTTCCATTACTGTTATTAGCATATAGCACGGTCAGGAATTAGATTATGACATGCGTTAGGAAATAAATTAACTTTAAAATGAGGATTATTGGAAAGCCATCATTACAGAACAAAATAGCACATTAAGAACATACGCAATTGGTGCGTGATCATTGCTACGCCATGATCTACGCTAATAGTTGTCCTAATCTCCCCACTCCTTTAGTAACACTTTTGTAATGTAATTTGCTTTGCACCTCCCTTGTCACACTTACACTTTCATCATACTTCATTATTCACACAGTATTCGAACATAGTCAAAAGTAACATGCACTGCTCGTGGTTTAAACGGTAGCAATTATACTAAAGATTAGGCCAAGCTAAGATGGTTTATCACAAGTTATTTTAGCGGATTTTGCTCAGAATGTACAGTGGCAACGCATTAATTCCGGATTTTAAATCCGCATTTCAAATTAAATTAATTTTTATAAACTCTAATTTAAAACCAGTTTGATGAATCGTAGGAAGCATCCTCTGGAGGGAGCTGAACAATATATGAAGCGTGATGCGTACTTTCCAAAAATAAATTTTTTTAACGAATTACCAAACTATAAAATTGCAATAATTGCAAGAAACAATAAACGGTCACAGCTTTAAACAAAATAGGCCATTTTAGTTAAGTGATGGAACTAATTTCTAAAGGTCATGAAGTCAGGAACCATTTTCAAAGCTATTCTTTCAAGGCCTTTATAACGGCGAGACGAATTTGTTTTTACGGAACTGGTCAGGAGGATCTTACTTTTGAACGCAACAGAAGGAGCTTGGCTGCATCTACAACGCCTATTCTCGTTTTTGATATATTTACTGTTATGCATTTCCACGATCAGCGATTTTTTAAATAACCTCTTCTCACGGAACCTACCAATGATCGCGATAGCCTTGACAAGTGTCAAAAATTTTGAACACAACATGTAACATGTACAGCTAAGTCATTAGCAACCTGTCAACAGTAATTTTTTCATCTTTCTCAGATTGTCACCAACGTACATTTATACCCTGCTTTTATGCCACACAAAAGGACACTGAGAAAGTAAATGGAAAGGAAGAACTGCACAATGCCCCTTGACAGACAACTATACGAAACGCTACAATCATTTACTCTCTGAGCTTGAAAAAGTTAAGGAAACAAACCAACCAACTCCACTCTATATAAACTGCAAGCGACTCAACAGCAGCTGAAAACTACGACATATTTTGAAGAAGACACGACATGGGGTCTGAAACGTGTATCGGTATATCATTTGATCGACATAACGATATTCCTTCATGTTAATAAAACTGATTTTGAATAAAATGTCTACCATATGATCGCGATTTCAGACAAATGATGAATTCTTAGTGAAAAATTATTAATAAAATGTTTTGTTAAATATCAGGCACACAATAAATAAGCGAAGGGATCAACGAATCTGCTTACCTGATTCAAGTTTAAAAGTACGATCCACTGATTTGCGCAAGATCTGTTATTGAAAGGCACAAACGAGGAGGCAACAGAAGACGAGGCAGAACTAAACGGATAACGAGTCAAAGACTGATGCATCTGAGGATGAGGACGGCTGCCTCTGGTGCCCCAGCTGTCGCCGCAGCCGCCAATATTTTGGCACATTGGATGCTGCTAAAAGAATAAGCAAACGTTTACGCAGATTTAATTCAATACTATCTAGAAAAGAAATGTCTGAGTTTACCTTCGACTCGTAGCTGCTCCTACCACCGCCGCCCGCATTGGGCATGCCCATGAAAGACGCGTTAAATGGAAACGAAGGCACACAGTTATTCATAAAGCCCGTAGACGTAAGTGTAGAGAATTCTGGATTTAAACGGTTTAAACTTATGGAACTAGGTTTTACACTACCGGGTGTGGCATTGGGGTCATCGGCGACTTCCTTTGGGTCCTTCCACTCCCATTTCTGTCCGGGACGGAACTCAGGAGGACCTTCATCAAAGCCTGACGCAAAGCCGCCGCCGCTAATGTCTGAATCAGCATTCAAAGGATCGACGGTGAAATTGCCGCCATTCGTGTTAGAACCGCCGTTGCGACATCCTAAACAAGAACAGACTTCGTATAACATATGTATGCACACATATAAGAAATGCTACTTTCGCTTACCCTTTGTTTGCAGCTCTTGCGGCCATTCCAGCACGGAGCCACGCTTCATCGACCACGGATCCTTCACTGCACCCAGATTCAAATTGACTAGAACATTTTCGAGGTTCTCTAAGTTTGGAACGGAGGCGGACGCGTTCAATTTGTTTCGATCAGTGACCACTTCATTCGATGAACCGGTCGCACCCAAGCTTTGCTTCCATTGCTGAAATATTGAGTAAAACTGCATATACCTAATACTGCAGATAATTAATGCACTTACTAAGAGTTTTGACTGGTTAAAAGTATCGGTCAGGTAGCAAGAGTCGGGCCCCATTGAGGTACCTCCTGGAGACCGTAGGTTAACACCTGGAAAGTTGGTTTGAGCACTGATTTGCATCTTCAGATTCTGAATGCTGCTTTTCAACTGATGCATTTCGAGCAAGTATCGCTGAAGCTCGTTCTGTTGTGCGACGTTCAGCGGCATTTTCTGTTGCAGCTTTTGGATTTCGGCCCTGGTCTTCTCGAGCTTCGGAATGAATTGTAACAAATGATTGAGCTTCAGTAACGTTTCCTGCGGCAGCGGGTGATGCAGAATGCTCATGTCGACCAGGCCAGCTCGAACTGCCGCACACAGCTGATCGGCAATCTGCTGAGTTAGCTGCTAAAAACAAAATCATTCAGAAAGCAATGAATCTATAAAACCTGCTTATCAGCTGATATCCCACTGGTACATTAAAGTCTCAGACTAATGAAAGAACAGGTAGCTGATCGAAAATTTTACTAGCAATGCAAAAAACATTAAACTGCCTTTAAATGAGAAGTAATACAGTACGGTGATCATTCGTATAATCTTCCAAGATATTGCAAAAGCTTACAGTAGAACAAATGAGAAAGACTATGCCAGAGACGAATACTACACCATACTAAAAAATGTAAGAATGAGAGACAATAACGGTTCGATGCGCCTGTGGCAGAAAAGAATTTCAGGTATATTAGCAGGAGAGAGTTCATCGGTAAGCGCTAAAGGCATTTAAATTCTTAATGACATACTCTGCTTAACGTACAAACACAAAACCGCGTTCTACAGTGTGCATTCCATGCCTTTTACATAAGCAAAATTGTAACATTTCATTAGCAGTTTGAATGTTACTAACATTTTTGTAGAATTGCATTAAAAAAACTTCCCCCAATATTGGTTGCCAGCAGTCTAAAAATAGCAAAACTCTGACGCAATGCACATTTTTTGCATCGTCTAGGACCGATAAAGTTTAGTCTCTGCCGATAAAAATTTTATATGTAGCCCAGTTTTACGTTTCTAGTGATACAACCGAACGACGGCAACAAACTAATCGTTGGACGCTTTAATCTTCATAGAGACCATGTCCAGTCTTCCTTAACGAGGTTTGTTTTGCGACAGAACAGAGGAGTATTTTGCGGTTTAATGACAAGTAAGCTAGTTGGTGTTTGATAAACACAGAACCTCAAAATGAACCACCACCTGCACGACTGAACGACACAGCATTGGTGGGACAGAAACAATTTAGTTACCATCCCTTCCTTTGATTTTTTCTACTAAGAGAACTGGACATATCCCTGCACACTGACAAAAATGAATATTTGAAAATAATAGCCCAAGGTTTCATTTTTTAATTATAACAACATCAACTACAACTACAGTCGAAACATTTATTACTTTATTTACCTGCAATTGCGGACTGTTGTTGAGTACTGATTTGCTGCCCTGTTGCTGTAGTTGAGCTACTACGGGAGGTATATTGTTCGGCGGTATGCAGGAAGGCATAGCTGTCTGAAACTAAACTAATTAATCTATGACAAAAACATACATGGAGAAAAAACGTTCTTTTAAACAACTAACACCATTACAAAATACCAGAAATAGCAAATAAGAAAACTAGAGATTGAGTCAAAAGCATATTTACATTTTCTCCTAATTTTACCGAACTTCAGAATGCCATTATAATAAAAGCCAAGCTTTCTGTTCAAGGCAAGTATATCACTTAAATGAGTAAAGCTCGACTCTGAAAGATGACATCAGCACAAAGATTGCAGGCGCTTGGCCATATTAAGGAATTAAATACTAGGCAGTGTAGTCTGTATGCAATAATTAATTTAATATTACTGCTGATTCAGACCTCCGCTGATTCAGATGATCCGGCCCTAATTAAGGATGAGAAAGAGGGTTTGAGGACCGTAACAAAGCATACCATAAAGCTAAAGTACCTGTCCATCATGGTACTCATGATATCCAACATTACGTTTGTCCGTTCGACATCCGGATTAATAGAGACCTCGTAGATTGTTGGGGAACATAGACAAACTACGATCAGAGCCTGCACCACGCCTTCTGGCAGCCGATAGCGTAGAAGCATGGTGACGGCTGCTGAAGATCTACGAAAAGATGACGACGATACCAGTAAGCAGTGGATTTGCTACAGCGGAATGCCATCACGGCACGTTAACTAAAGTTCACTGGAACGACATCAAAAGAACAGAATAGAATATCTACGTTCGGAAATTAGAGTATCTCCTTACTCTGCGCTTGTTGAGACCAAAATATACCGACTGTACAAAGTTAAACTCTTGTAAACGAAGAGTCAGAATTCTGAAATTCTGAACCGCTGCGGTGGGAGCAATTCCACTCAGGAGACGACATCACGAATGAAGTAGGAGGTGCTCTGAACACTGTACCGGCTACGGGGTCCATTATTATTCGTATGGGCAATTTCAACGTACATGTCGGAACACCCAACAGAAATAAAAATGTGTAAAAAAAGTAGCTGCAACGAATGGTTCTATCAATCTTGACCAGAATGCAGTATATACAGGTATATTGTATATTATATAAAGAACAGAGTAAGTGCATTACTTTACCCGGTTCAACGGAGCGATGCTCCAGGCAGAGATATTTTACATGTATTTTCTATATGACCTATAACGTTATGTGTAACGACTTACGTCATCAACAGATCATACACTGATTCGAACTACTGCAAGATCGAAGAGGGGACGTTTCTTATGGCAGCTAGACAAAACCTCTTCTAATCAACCGACTAAATTAAATGATCTCAGAAAGATATGCAAGGATTTCAGTGACAACTCTGAATACAAAACCTGCAGTTAGTCGAGAATCTGTTTTTGACTCAATGTCTCGTTTATATTAATAGCCGAAGGATGCAGCAAACTGAATATCTACAAGACTCACTTTAATGGAAGAAAAGGAAGTAGGCGTCGCTGAGCTGGACACGAACACTTCGTCGTTAGATACAGTTTCGGAATCAGTAGCATCACTAGCATTTTCCGACAATCGTTCCTGAAATGAGCGTGATTACTTCCGATGCTGAATCGGTTGCTATTACGACTTTTATGGCAGTTATCTTCCGTGAAGAGGTTAGCACGATGGTTAAGTACAGAGAAGTGATATAAATGAGTTAATCACCTGTTTCGATGAATCGCCGCCGGTCACCGCTTCATTCCACTGAGATGTCGACGAATAAACGGACGAGGTATGTTTGCCTGTAGTATCTAACCAATTTTTACAATCAGGAGAGGTAACTGATTGGCATGAAGTAGCTGCCACTGAATTAGAAGTCAAGCCATTGCCGCTGATAGCCGTAGTTGTCGTCGATGCAGATGTTGAAGTCGGTCCTTGAACAGGCGACTGCTTTTCAGCGGACGAGTTCCACGAGCCTACTCCACCGCTGGACATTTTGAGCGGTTGAGGAGCGATCGGTGAATCCTTCCAAACACTGTTGCTGTTGGCGGCAGATGAGCTGGAGGCAGCCGCCTGACCCGAGGTCGAGGTGAGGGCGATAGAAGAATTCGACGAGACGCCCGACATGAGAGTCGGAGGCGGCGACAAAGGTAATTCTGTCTGAATGACGCTCGGCATCAGGTCATCCGAGCAGCTTTTCCATCGATGGATCTCGCCCTGCGCATTCGGATCGCCCCACAACGTCGTTCCTTTGTCTGGTTGAGCTGTCTTTTTTGGATAAGGATTGTTCCATACCATCGAGTTATCCGGCGAAGCGTCTAAACGATGTCAAAGCATGAATTTACTTTGATTATGTAAGCACCGGAAAAGACAAGACCGTGAAACAAGTGGAAGAAGCTAGGCAGAATTTTCCGGTCCTAACCGTATTAAAACAAATAACATAACGGGGATGTGTTGATTATGTTGGCCAATAAGGAACTCTAATTTTACTGCCAGCCTTGTCGTGATCTACGACTGTCAGTGCTGATTACCATAACGAGAAAGATGACCAGAACAAACTGGCGGTCAGCCAAAACAGGAAACGGAAATAAAATGAGAAAAGTGCACAGTTTCGACAAAGAACTGCAAGTGATCTGTGTTCTAAATGGTGGATCTTTAGGATCTTAACTTTGCTGACGTCACAGACATCGGCACGATTGTCAAATTATTAGGGCAGCGACGGAGACAGCGAAGACACAATCGCGAATATAGCAGAAACGCCGAAGTGTGTTTGTTACGCACTGAAACCAAAGGACAAATCGGACGCAAATAGGTGACGCTTCAAAAGAAAACAAGGATAGAGACTGAAGAAAGAGACATTGTGGACAGGATAACTACGCAAAAAGAACAGCTATACGTCTCGCACATAGGCGTAACACAAAAACTACAACGAACACTACGACAACTGGGCACACGGAGTGAATAAATAAATACCTGCTGGCAAAGGAGGACCGGTCCATACGTTTGACGCAGACTCCGCAGCACTGACCCATGACGAATTCGGTCGATGACATAACTAAAAACCACGTGAAACTTTATTTACATGCATATATAAATAATACGTTACAGGCAAAAAACGCGCATCGGTTCAAAGCTATTTATGCGAAATCTTCAAATGGATATCGACTACGTAAATTACAATAAGTTCGAAAGTCCTCAATTCGATGCATCAATATAGTTCGAATCCTTTATCAAACTTAAGACAAAATAAAACAAATTCGTAAAATAGTACAGAAAGAAGTGAAATTTCTTAACTGAAAAAATTATGCCATTGCTGGCAACACCGATGTTAGGTTCAGAATAATATAAAAAAATATATACGCAAAAACATTCGCTTACGTCTAGTACGTAGTCGTCTAGTGTTTACTAGGTAAATCATGATTTATGCCGTTGCACTCTGCAACAGCAGCATCGGGAAGCAAAGCCAGTTCCACCTTACAAAATGGACGTTTATCTGTAACAAAAAGCTGAAACGTAAAACGGACAGGGTAAAAGAAAAGGTCAGACATCGCCCCTAAAAACTGAAACAGGTTACAATTAATGAATATTTTACGTC